CCACGTGGCTCTCAGTAGCTGCTGCGAGGAGGCAGGCAGCCCAGGGACACAGAGCAGGACAGGGCAGCCATGTGCCAGGGGGTTTCAGGTGGGGCACAGGGAGCAGAGTGCTGCTGGGAGCTCCCCACATCTCATGTCGTGCTGACACTGGGTAGAAGCAGAGGAGCAGAGGTAGCTGGTGTAGTTAGGAACAGGATGAGTCTCAGGTCCCAAGAAGTATCAGCCTGGGGCTAGTTAAGGATGAGGAACCTTACGCTGTGCACTGAGCACTGTGTGAAGGACAGCACTAAAAGGAAAACTGGGATTTCCCTCCTCCAGGGACTGGGCTAGCACTAGATCCTGAAACAGAACCTCCTGAATGGTTCCTTGAATGAGGGAGGGGGAGTGGGAGGTAGAAATCTCCCTTTCATTTTATTTTATTTTTAAATATTCCCACCAGTTTTTCTTGTGAAGATCAGCAACATATAACCCACTTACTGTCCCAGCACCATCTCAGGAAAGAGATTTTCAAGGCATTACCATAGTTTACACCAAAACATGGAAGGATCTGTTTCACTGAAACACACAGATCAGTTTGCATACGAAAGAAAAACAAATACAGCCCAGAAGCAATTTTCATCCTAACCCAAATGTCCCATGGTTTGCAAATTCCATGGTAAAACACACAGTATTTATTCCTGCTCTGCCTCTCACTGTCATAAAACAGCATGGACAGCCCAGGTATAGCTCTGCCAGCTCTTGTGTGGAACTGTCACAACCCAAAGGGATCCAGAAATCTGAAACAAATGGAAAGCAAAACCACGGAGGAAGCAGTGCCTACAGATGGGGTCAAAAGCAAATCCATCAACCCTGAAGGACTGTAAATGATACATTTATTTCACCGACTTTCATGCCTTGCAGTGATTTGGAAGTTTCTTCCTTAAATATCACTGATAACCCACGTGGCAGTGATACAGAGGAGCAAAATTACTAAAGCAGTCACTGACAACTGTCCTGAAAGATACATAATTCTGGAGACTGACTACAGAATTAGTACTCAAGCTAAAAAAGCACAATGCTTGTTTTCATTAACTAGTCTGTATTTTATATTTGAACTTTCTCTTCCAGTGTGTAGAACTAAATAAAGACTGTATTTCAACTGTCTGATTCTGGGTCAAGCAAAAACATCCCAAGACTTCCACATCATAGACTGCAAGCATGTGGAGCACTGTGTGGCGACAGCTTCTGACCAAAAATAGGGAATAATACAAGCTCACAAAAAGTTAATTGACATTCTTCCCGTTCACCCCTTTACTTGACAATACATGATACTGGACATCACAATCACATCACTTTTCTGACAAACTGCTGTCAACACATGCCACTGATGGCTCAGCTATTTGTGCTTTCATGGGAGATCCATACACGTTTACGTAAGTTCTAACAGATGTGATATTAATTTGAAGTCAAACTGCGGCAGAAATATTGTTGTATGGCTTCACTGAAAGAAAGTCACTGCAAGCACTGTGCTCTTCAGACATCCACTTCTATTCCTACACAGAGAAGTCTGTCTTTACCACAGACTCAATTCAGCATTATAAGCTACCCTCGTAACACAGCTGAACACCAGCAAATAGTCCCCGCTTCGATCAGTGGGTTCATGGACATGCATTCCCTCAGGTTACACCAGTGATGAATAACCCACAGCGTGACTGGTCAGAGGTCAAACTCACAGTGCTTCTGCTGGGACAGAACCGAGGATGGCGCTGACACGTCAGAGCAGCAGCAGCATCTGACTGCGTGGGTCGCTACCTTCCTTCGCAAAATTTTGTCATCTTGGAATTATTTTCCAATTCACGGAAGCACTGTGGTAAGAAGTTCATAGCAGGCACTTACAGCTATACAGTGTAAGTATACAGTGTAAGTATACAGTGTACAGTGATAAGCTGGTATCACAAGTAAGGAGAGTGGTGAGGGGAACAGCAGAACTAAGAGAAGCTCACAGCTTTCCTCTCCAGAGGAAACAACTGTCAGAAGACATTGTGTGCCATCATCATATAGCAAGGCATTAAAGCACTTTATTATGTAAGAGTTTAAATTTTCCTCATCAGCAACAGCACTGTGGTCACCTAACTGTCAGCTGCTAACTGCTGATTTCACGGGAGGGCTCCTGCAGCTCTGCCCCAGTGCAGTGTTCTGCACACAGGAGCAACCTGTGCTCTGTTGATGAGAACTGCTCCTGATAGGCACGGACCTCACCATGGCCACAGCTGAAGGCAGTGGCTTCACATGAGAGTGGCTTCATTAAAACGCTGCAATTCCCCGCTGACATCCCAGACATCACCAAGTTGTGAAAGGTGCACGATGTGTAAGTAAAGGGCAGAACAGTGCAAGAAGCAACGCTGCTGCCTTCAGGAGAGCACTCTGCGCTCACAACAAAGCTCATCCCAACATTATTTTTAAGGAAGGAAGGAAGATACGTGCCGACTTGTGAAATGTGGGCTGGCAGAGCCAGGACTTGTCTGTGCTGTCTGCCAGCTGAACGCAGCTCAGCACTACCACAACATCAAGCACTTTCCATTTTTTCAGTAACAACAAAGATGCCTTTGTCCAGTCCCTAACAGCCATCCAATACTTTGGATTTCTGAAGGGTTCCCCACAGACAGAGATATGCACTCAGATCCCAAGCTACAGACAGTTTGTTTGCTCTGTGCCACAGGATATATGCACACAGCGTGTAAAATATCACAGCAGTCAAAGGAGTCTGCAAGCATGCTGCCACAAGAAAGACAACTGGGCATAAGTGTGTCTCTTAATATTCTCTGACAACTCATTATGAAATGCATCCTGCTTGCCCTACAACACTGCAGACAGCAGACACAGAATGGCCATAACCACTCAGGAGCAGCAGAACTGCCGACGCGCGCTGAGTGTTTCACTGCAGATAAATACGGCAGCAGCAGCTGCTGCCTGCAGCCCCAGGCCCAGGATCCACCACGTACACACAAAGCCATGTAAGTGCAGGGTGCCATGTGGTACCCTCACAGCTCTAAAGCACGGCAGTGTAACACAGCACACGCTGCAGGCACAGCCCTCCTCAGCACCTTGAGGTGCAGATCAGCACTGGCACACACCTGTGGTTTATATGCCGATAAACCACACCGGACTTTCAGCAGAGCACCCTCACTGCCTCCACTTCCAATGGACCTGCCAACCAGCCACCCTGGGCTTGTTAGAAATAAGAGAAACATCGCAAGATTTACACTGCAATTTTATTTTATTATATTTTTTATTAATTTGACTTTTTTGCATTGAGGAACACACTTTCTCTCAGAGTGAGTGCCCCTGCAATTGCCATGCTTCAGGGATGGCCAAATTGATTTCATGCGGTAACTAAAACCAAGAGCATGAAGGAACAAATTGCTTAATTCTCTTCTGGAAACAGTGAAGCACATCTTTGGTACGTGACTCATTACCAGAAAAGGGACTCTGGGGTCTGTCACCTTTCAAAACAGCAGGACCCCTGCAGGGGCACAGGGTAAAGCTATGGGCACACCTCCACCAGCTGCCCCAACTGCCAGTGCTTCCACCAGACCTGCCCTACTGCACCGACTGATAGAGCCAGCTGTGGTGGTCCTCCAGGAACTGCTAGTACCCAGAGATCAGTAGGAAAACCAGACATATATTTTTAGTGTGAGCTAGAACACAATGTACTGCACCAATGAAATTCAAACGAAGAAGAAAAATCAAGAAAGATTCTGCACACCAGAGTTTGCTGCTGAAATGTTCTGGGTTAGCAGGAAAGAGACTGTGTGCTACTTGTGGAGCTGCTAGCTGAGAGAAAGCGAAGTGAAACTGTACTTCTTTGTTTAAAGATCTTTTTCAGTGTTTATCTTTGTTAACACTTCGCTGTAATTTGTGATTTTCTATGCATAATAATAACTGAAGGGCTCAAAAGAAGGTTACACCAGAATAGCTCGGAGATGCCAGCTTCTTGACAAGAAAGCTGCAGAGTCATCATACGGCCTTGCTGCTGCGAGCAGCTGTCTCTCCGTACTGCATTTAACTGAACAAAAGCACAGCAGAATGAGAACACAGGCAGCAAAGACCCAGATCTTCCCCAGTGAATCTGTTTTCACAGCTGGAGACAGAGAGCTTGCTATTCTATATACAGCATCACTGAGCTCAGGAACTCAAGTGGGCAGTGTTAAATTGCACAGTAAAGCAATTTAAGCAAATGACTAATCTAAACCCTTCGCTTTCATTCCTGCTTTGGTCTTTTAAAAATGGCTTAAAAACATGAAACTTCAGACTTCATTTGTTACAAAAAGAAGGACCAGAAGATGAATCTTGGCACCTTAAAGTAAAACCAAAGCAAACAGAACTGACAGCACAATTTCCTGAGTTGTGACAAGCTGATTCTATAGCAGTTTGATCAGGACTTGCAGCACACAAAAAAAACACGACATGCTCTTGACTTGGAGAAGGCCAAAAGCAAGCAAAAAAGCCCCTAACCCTCTTTTTTTCCCAACTTCTTGATACCTTACCTGCTAGGCCACTATCTTCATTAGACTTATCATGGGATTTCTACAGCCTTAGCTCCTACTGCACTACGATGCACATTTTTAAAGTCACAGAGGTACACACATGAGCACTGTCCTTAAACGTTATCAAAGTATTTGTTTTCAGGCTACAAAGTGCACAAAGAATGCCTTATGCAGCAAGGTTCCAGCCAACGAAATTAACACGATCCCTTAATTTCCCATTTGATTGTTCTGATTATAAAGAATCCGATGTGCAATATGTGACGTTAGGATCTCAAAATATTACAAGGCACATAATCACAGCCGAGAGCAGAGCTAAGGCAGATCTGAAACAGAGATCACTGGCGGCCGGTTCCAGAGAAACAGCGAACATTCTAGCACTAAGAAGGGAGCCCTCCAGTTGCCTCAGGTTTAAAAGCCTTTGCACAGCGATTCGGTACGTTGTTATGAGCAGAGCACACTCAGCATCGTACTCACCGTGGTGCTGGCTGCCGCAGGACCAGGGGTGCCACGACACTCTGCACCAACAACTGGACTTTGCTCCTCGGGATTACGGGTGACAAGGATTCGGAAGTGCTGCTGCCTCGTGTTTTGATCTGGTCTGATTTTAAACAGGCATCCCTTCCCCTGAGGAATCTTCTCTACTGAATTGCTTCTGGATATTTCTGACCCGCTCCTGCCGCTTCCATGCAGTTCTGAAGTCCGCCCATCACCTGCGGGGCGGATTTCCTCCGGCCGTGGTTGGACGGGGTAGGAAGCGCTCCTCTCCAGCTGAATGCGTGGGTACCTGACCAGTCTGTCCCCTTTTGTCCCAGTAAAGCCGAAGTTATACTCACCACCTGTACCACTCGCCTGCGGCTGCTGTAACTGGAGAACAAAGAACTTTTTCCCCGAATTTGCTGACATATCTGGCACGTGCTGCAGAGACCAGCGCCGGGGCTCAGGGGTGGGAGCATTATTTTGAGCCTCGGAACCAAAGGGCAGCAGAGTAACCTGAGGCACATCGGCGCTCGAAGCACGATGCTGAATCCTCACGCCGCTGATGTTCAGACCTGAAGCTGTTTCCTTTGCCTCGTTCTCATGGGCGGCGGACAGAGCATCGTCGCTCTGGTTATTAGGAGGAATAGTACGGAATATCCTACGGTTACAGCGAAGGGTTCCATTCATCTGCTGCCCCAACTCCTCCGTCTGCCTGGTTGGAGAATCCTCAGGAGTCGCCTCTGGGCTGCTCTGAGAGGAGGAATGGTTTTCAATGGAGGACGCATAATGCTCCCTAACATCTGAGGCTTTGCACAGGGGAGTCTCCTCGGGGGTCTCCGGGGTCGCGCACTCATCTGCAGCCTTGCGCTGGAGAGAGATCTGCATCGAGGAGCTTCTTGTGGGACGTGCGCTGATGCTGTTCAGCAGCTGGGGAATAAACATGGAGGTGCTCCTTTTCAAGGAGCCCACTTCTTGGAAATCGCTGCCTCCGCCGTAATCTGCTCCGTGTCGGGAGAAAGCGTGAGGGCTGCTTCTTCTCGGCAAAGTGTGGAATGCCATGAAAAAGTCATCTTCTCTCTCCCGGTCGAGGATCTCAGATTCGGGGGCTGTGTTGCTTCGTCCAGAGCCAAAATGAAACCGCAGCCGATGGGCCATGGTTTTACAGAGAGAAGAAAAGGAGAGGGAGAACGGCAACAATTCAGGCGCTGCCAGAAGTTAAAAACCAAAGACATAAACTCCAAGAAAAAGTGTCCCATCTGCCAAACTGTTAGCACTGCAGCACTGATAGCGACAGATAGCAGAAATAGCCCAAGTGGCAAGCAGCATTCCAGGCATGATTGGGTAAGAGCAATCAGCGCTCCTACACAGTGTGACATGGGGTAGGATGGTGGCAGTCACGTGGCCCGGTTCCCCCTCTCCAATCTAAGCCAGTGGGGGTTCTGTTGTTTTTTTTTAATGCCAGCGAGAGCCTGAAACAGCACCTTCCCAGCTGCTCCTTTTCCATCAGAGCGCAGCTGACCGAGGCAGCGAGCACACTCGGCGCCGCTATAAATCTAAATCACATCGTACCGCACGGCGCATTCGCACAAGGAGCAGGAAAGTTAATGACAACACAAACGCCGCGGTTTGGTTTTAGGGCTGTAAGTCAACGCCACGTGCAAATAAGGAACAATATTTCAAGCTTAACTTTTTGGTGTGTGTTACAGCACGAGGCTATCATGGCAGAACGTGAGTAAATATAGCACCGTTACACTTTCAATTTTAACTGCGCTTGTGGCACGGTTAAGTAACAAACTCCTTGCCTTTAAAAAGCCACAACTTTCACACTGGCCCTATGAGTGCAACGCAGCCAAAGCGAGCCCGCGCAGTCCCTTTTAATCAGTAAAAATTACAGCAAACAAAGCAACCCTATGCACAGCAAAGATCTCTCACTCAATAAAAACAGCAGAAACGCACAAAATGACAGGAGGCAAAGTTCCTTTTTCAGTTTTACTGGGCAGTGAAAACCAGGGACGGGTGTCGCATTGCCGTTTGGTACCGATTTGTCTTAAACAGCACACAGAAACTCTGCCCATTACTGGCCGGCCTCCAGTGGGAAAGTTAGCAGTACTACCACGGGCGTGATCGCAGGCACGGAATACAGTTACACTGTGAGAGCCAAGAGACCTCAGAAGCAGAACAGACGGACAGGATACATCCAACTGCAGAACAAACACCCTAAATATGCTCCACTGCAATGCAGGAAATTGGTGACTGGGGGATCCTGACAGCCAAAGGGCACCCACCATCGCAATGGCTCGCACGTGCCGGGGATGCACAGTTAGCTAAAAGCACATCTACAAGAAGAGACAGCGTAGGATCAGCTCAATGCACAGACATCTGTTCCTTAGGAGAACTCAGAGAAGTGCTGTCAACAAACTATCGGTGGCAGGTCAGTGCTCTGTCTAGACGTTTAAACCTCTGTTTGCATGCAGCTTGCTTTCAAAAGACAGAAACTGACCAATCAAAGAGAAATGGAAGCTTCGAACATGGCAACTGCCAGCAGGCAGCACAATCCTCTATTGTTTTAAATGGACCAGGAGCCAACAAGAAGAAAAATACGAATAGCTGCTACACAGCCACAGTGTTGTGGAGCTGCCTTGTGCAAGCACAGGTGTTGATTTTATCTTATTTTTCAGGTAAACCGTTATCCAGTCTCTTTCTGCTCTGAAGAAGACGACTCATCATACATCCTCTGCTCCAATGAGGGAGAGAAAGGATATACTGCAGAGAGGAAGTGCTCAGATAATTTTGGAATGTGAAGAAAATAAAGTTTTGGGGGGGGTAAAAGACATGAAAGTGTTGACAACAAGTATTTCACATGAAATCTGAAATTATTTGCTCGGTGCCTTGCTCTGTAAATACAACACGATGGAAATTTGCCACTATAAACTTGTGTACTTGTTCTCCTTGGCCAACTGTTCCACAACGCTTTCTGAAATGAAACAGCAGCTCCTTATCCCCAGGTTACAGCCTGCAGAAGCAGGATCACACAAAGAACAACCAGAAAACGGCTCAACAACACAGTAACACTGAAACGGTCAGTATGTGGCCAGTGCCACAGAAAGGAAACCCAGAAATCCTATAAAGTATTTCAGAAAAGGGTACACTGAACATTTTGGTTCTCAGCTGTCAGTGCACAGCTGAGCTGTAGTATTTTTTCTAGGCTGTCACCTCTTTACTGACACACGTGGACATCCCCATGCATGCCACTGCCCTCTGCAGGCAGAATGAAACCTCTTCCATGAGCTTCTGCTCCATCCTCCACATCAGCACAAACTCACCCCAAGCACCCTTGCAGCTGCATGCACACCACACAGGCTTAGTTTGGAAGGGATCTCTTGAAGATCAACTAGATTGTCACACCCCCCCAGCCATGGGCTGGTTGCCTGACATCCAACCAGGCTGCCCAGGACCCGGCCCTATCACATGGCCTTGAATGCCTCCAGGGATGGGGCATCCACTACATTTTTGGAGATCAATAATTCCATTCTTTCTATTTCTGTTTGGAATAAAAAAGATCCTCACAACACCAGTCCAACAAGGCAAGCAGGTTCAGTAGACAGTGTACTGCTCTGAACCAAGAAATCTAAGGCCTCATCTCATGAGCAGAAAAATGATGCTCCAATTTTCAGCAGACAAAAATTAAAAAGTCGCCCACACAACGTGCCATCTCATTTAAAATCAGTTATGCAGAATGTTGTCTATTTGGCATATCTATGTGAAAAATGTACTCACTTCATCACAACAAGAGCAACATGCAGTAAGTTTTGGGAAGACATCATCTCAGTAATAGTGGTTGTATCAGACAAGCAAGCTTCAAGGCTAAAAGCCCTAGCAATATGTTGGGTGTTACCAGGGGCAGAACTGAACACAAAATGCAGAGCGTTACTTTGCTATTAACTAAAATCTTCAAGGACCCACGTCTTGTGTAACTGACTATCTCAAAAAGGATTGAGTATTAAAATGTACAGGAAAGAGATGCTCAAGTGAACAGGGGATGAAGCAGCTGCTTTATGTGCAAATAACAAGGCTACAACTGCTTTTCAGCTCACACCAGAGAAGCTTCAGGAAGAGTATGATATGATTTCCACCAACAGAACATTTAGCTTAAGGAGGACCATTCTGGTCTAAACCAGTAGCGAATTTCTGTGGTTAATGTTCCATTAACCCATAAAACAGACACTCTGTATGCTTCAGTCTGTGTAAACCTCTTTTATGCTTCAACCATGTAAACAACAGAAAACATACACCTTTATGGTGCGTTATGTTTCCATCAGCTGTGTTCCACAGCTCTGGGAAACAACCAAGACAGGTACTCACCAATCTGTTCTCGTCAAACACTTCAAAGAGGAGGCGATGATTGGTTGGGTTTACCTAGGAGACAATCCAAATAATACTATTTTAGCTTCATTCACTCAGTTAGAACAGTATATGGACACAAGTTGATAAAATGATTAAATGAAGGCAAGCAGAACAGAACTAATATATTTATATAAATCCTTTGCTTCAACTGACTGTGAGAACATGAACACAGAAGCCCAGACTGGACAGAACACCAGAGCTCAGACTTCTGGGTTCCATACCTGGAAAACTCAACTAAAATGTAGGGAGCAAAAGCTTTAATTCATTTCTTTCAGAATTTAACCATCATCTCTATTTCAGCCTCTCCATCTGTCACTGTTTCTGGCCCATTTGTCACCAGTGGGTGACATCCCATGATCATGTCCCTGGGGAGAACCCAATGGAAGGCAGAGAACCTACCCTGCTCATGTCTGGCATACATGTCTGATACTTCTTTACACAACTGTATCTCCTGGAAATAATTTACTTGGAAGCAAATTTAAGCAAAGAGACAGCTTTTCCAGAAAAACCTTATATGCCAGGTTACTATGTCTGCTTGTTTAATTAAGCTGGCCAGGGAGGGGTTGGGTCACCGTCCCTGGAGGTGTACAAGGAACGTGTGGATGGACATGGTTTAGTGGGGAAATACTGGTTGTAGGTGAATGATGGGACTGGATGATCTTGGAGTCTTTTCCAACCTTCATAATTCTATGACTCTGTCATTATAAGGAAATTTAGACGAAATATTCCACAATGGACTGTGGGAGTGGAAGAGGAACTCTCAGTTCTGAAAAGATCAGAGAACTCTGTCACACAAGGGAAGGTGCATCACTTTAATGTTTGCACTTATTTTTAGCATTTTCCAGATGTTTTAATAGAACTTCCATGAAGTCTATCTGTAATTTAAACAACACAAATTGTGGCCGTTTTGGGTATTCTCTTTCTCAGGAAAAACTACACAGTGAGCAACACTACCTTGAAAACTATCAGTAAAAAATGATAAACATGAATAAATTTTCTTGTTCTTCACTTAAAAGCATTTGACTTTGTCCCTTACAGTCTGTCTCACAACACAGCATGCTGCAGACCAGGGTCTACCAGGACAGACTTAGGGAGGCAGTCATTCATTCCCGAAGCTCTGGACACCAATCGGGGTGAGCATGAGCTGTCCTTACGTACAACAGCAGTCTAAAACTTCCTGACACCCTTTCCTGTGCCATGGCCACCTCTGTGCTTTATCCCAGCGACACTGGGAAGGGCATGGGACCAGAGAAGTGAACTTAGTGCCTGCAGACTGCATAGCTCAAAGAAACAGGCACAGGTCAAATTATACAAATGGTAAAAAATATTTATCTAAAGACTCTTTTAGAGATTTAGGTGTGTATTAACCAGTTGGCAAACCTTGAAATGCTACCTGGAACACATGTAAAAATGATAAGAAATCCCATCTGAACCTCAAAAAAGCACTTACTAATAACTACACTGATGGGAACTATTTACATATTCCTGTTAGCAAGAGAGATGAACGCTAAGGCTGTAAACAGTGCTTGATGGGTCACTCATTTTTAACAATCTACAATGACTACGTCTGTTCTCAAGCAGCTGTTTAAGATTAAATTTTAAAACCAGTGAAACTTTACCTAACCTACTTCTGTGAAAGCTGCAGCTGCAGTAAAATAAATCCATTCTTCCTCAGAAAATATTTTCAGCAACTAAGTTATCACTGTTCTCATTTCTGTTATGTTGGTTTTGAGGATCACCATTTCAAACCCTCTTTTAGCACTGTCAAATATTAGAAGTGATCACTTCTTATGAAAAGTCACCTACAAACTGAAATGGTATCACTCAGTTTTAAGTGAAGGTTACCTTCATTTTAGGAATAATTTGAAAAAGACAGAAGTTAAATGAGAGAAAAAAAAAAAAGGTGTGTCATTGTGATTTTATTTACTTATTTACCATAGTAGCTTAAATGTCATACGGGTCTTGGAAATGGTTCTGATTATCTGCTACTACATTAACATTTTAAGACCACAGGAGGCATCAGGATGAACATTATTTTTCACAAAAACATAGAAACAGTGAATTAAAAAAACATACAAAATACCACGTGATTAATTGTACGTTAGAGTGACTGCAATTAAAAGTGATACTTACTCTAAAATAAAATTCTTCATTCCATTTCGGATTTAGTGTCTATAAAAGAAAATAACACATTAGGATGCTACAGTATCTGCAGGTTTGCAATTTCGCAGCCATCACAACATGCATGCAAGTGACAGTTTTTTTAGAAAACACCAGGGGAAAAAAAAGCGTTTCCTAACAAAATAGCTCCAACACTGCTGTCAAATGACTTAGAACCGCTCTACTAAATAAACCAAATGTGGGAAGGGATTTGAGTCAGAAGAACTGAAAATAGATGGTAAGTATAAATGAATCATATTCACAGAATGGGACCCCCCTGCCGTGGGCTGGCTGCTCCTCAGCTCAGGGCTGCCCAGGGCCTATCCACGACCTTGGGCACCTCCAGGGATGGGGCACCCACAGCTCTGGGCAGTGTTGGGGTCTCTTAAAAAGGAGAATGAACAAAAGGGAAGGTTACTGCCTCCAAACAGACACCATACTCTTCCTAATTGCCCCCAGGCTTGAAGAGGATTATAATTTTGCTCTAATGATCCAAATAAAACCCACAGAATAAATGGTGTTCCATTTGCAACCTGAAGGGAGCTCCAGCATAAAACCATAAGCTGATAAAAAATTCAAAGTAGGAACACTGATAACTGCCATACTTCAAATCTGGCTAAGTTGGAAATCGAGCATGGTCTGTCCCCAGGTTTTGTTTCCCTGCTGAAATGTTCCCTTGGTCCCTTCCACAGCAGAGCTTAAGCAGAAGAGCTGCTGGGGTGTACATGGCTCTACCCACCAGAGGTTTGTTGGAGCAGAGAAGGCAATCGGGCCGTTCATCCAGAACTCCTTAGCACGGATGCAGTGCAATTACCCAGCACACAGGGGCTCAATGTGCACCACTGCCCTGCCGCGTGTCCCACACGCACCCATGGTCGCAGTGCTGACAGCCCACAACCTGCCTTTCCCCTTGAGTTTGGGCTGAATCTCAACCCAGCAGATACACAATTAAGAATCTGTGAGTTCAAATACTGAGATTTGAAAACTGCCTCCTAGAAAATCTACAGAAATAAAGAAATCATTTAATGAAAAAAAGTCCAGCTATTAGAGGACGGGGTAAGGGAGAGAGAGAAGTTTCCTGCTTCTGCGCCATAAAGAGCAAAAATGCATTCACTAAAGCAATGAAGCAATAAATAAAACAAATACAATGTTTTAAATTTGCATTCGTTCACTGCAGTTGTTCTTGGCAAGGGAAACTTCTCATCTAATCTGGCAACTAGAATTAAGAGCATTACTGCTAATCAATAACGCATTAATTCTGAGTACTGCTTAACCACAATTACCAATTTCAGGAAATAATGATGTATTAGGCAGCACAATTTTTAGTAAACAAGCAGGTGACTATTAGAAATTGCTTTCACCTTCAC